GAGGGATTTAATCCAGTTTTAATCTGCTCATATCATCAAACCTCAACGTGATGCATCCTGTCTGAGCAGATTAGCTTGACGGGCTTTTCACATGGCAACGTCAAGACGAGCCAAATGAATGATGGGACATTAATTTGTGTGTGATCCACTGTGACGGCTGGGAGCTGATGAGCAGTCAGTCATCATTTCTCATTAAGATGAGAACGTGATAGGATGGAAATCCTGACAGAAGCTATTTTACGTTGATGTTAATTCTTATTTATTTTGGCTCATTGGCTTATTGACTTTAACATCCTGGTTATCAGTAATGCAGACAGATAATTAGTTTTATTGAGTATGATTAAGTACTTTTCATGGTGCTGTTAATATGCTTGAGTCATGTCTGATGTTTGAGCAGGATGAATGTTACGGTTTACTACAAACCTCAGATCAATCCCTCCCACCTGAAAAGCTTTGTCACAATATGTTTCTTAAACTTCAGTAAAAATGGCTTTGCTGCTTAAATAGATTTACGCACATTCATATCACAGCCTCTTCACTGTTGGCTATAAAATACTTTAACTTGATAAATGGTTGCTAAAATGGCCTTGCTCAAGGGCAATTGCGCAGTGGCTGTTAAAGGTGATAGAGATGATAACTCATGCACTTAAATGCTCAAGCTTGGAAGTTTGATTCAATGATTGAAGGCTTGAAGCCCATTCGAGCTGCCTTACAGATGCCCTGTCTGTTACAGAGTTTGGTTATTGTGTTTGTCAGGATGAAGATTGAACTTTTAATTGCACGAACATTTCAATCAGGAAAGACGAATGAATGAAGATATTTGTTTATTATATAATATAATACTTTATTAAGTCTTGACAGACTGTCTCTGCAGGGAGATATTTGTGATCGAGCGGCGTCTGCCCTGAGCAGCAGCAAGATAAATCCCCCTGTGGAGTCTGGTGGTGGCGGCTGATGACTCTGCTGAGGCTGATAGGCTAATGAAGTTGCTGAGTCTGTGAAGACTGGGTGGTGATGGGGAGGTGGAGGGGAGCACATCACAGCTTGACCTTCATTTCTTTCAGGCATATTTGGGTTACAGTTAGAAATAATTGTGGCAAAGAGAACCAAAAGGCCCAGTGGTGCAGTGTTTCCAACTTCACAACTTTGCTGCTAATTTTGTGAGTTTTTAAACTACTGCAACTTTATTTCTTATACATGACTGACAACAGTTCTGCAGTGGCAACGTTTTCCACAGAACTAAAGGACAAGCTGTCATCCAAAGCATAAAAACCACATGTTTGTAAAGCTGTGGTATGTTCAGTGTGAAAACATTTTTCTGATAGGAAAACAGAAATTTGCAATAGAATTTTTCAGTTGGTATTTCAGGTATAAAAAAAATAAAATGATAAAACCCCAAAACAAGTGACCTGTTAACTACAGTCCAAACACTAGCCAGTGCAGTAAGAATACTGCATGCAAGATTTACTCAAAGAGGACACACAGCTGTATTATTTTGCTGGTATAATAACAACAAATGCATTGCAGCAGCAGGACGTTAATTACAGTGCCATTAACATTCAGAAGAACAGTTTGGCAGCATTGAACGTCTCTCTGTTGGTGGTTGTGCTAGTTGCTGATGTTTTCAGTCTTTTTATTGGCAGACATTTTGGCTTGTTATAAAGGGAAAAGTACAGGTGTAAATAAAAACATTAGTGGCTTCATTCCATTCATTTCAAGTGTCCTAGTTAGCCAGACAGACACATTATACCCAGTAGCGGGACTCTAGAACTTATTATTGTTATAGATTACACCTTTCTTGCTAAACAAATAAATGCCAATGCCAATAGATCCTCTTAAATGTTACACGCTGGATCTTTTTAAGCAACTTTCTAAGCAACAAGTCACTGTCTTGTGAAACATTTTGCAGCACTGAACTAATGCAGTAAGGTAGAATCAAACTAAATGCAGTAGCTTCCAATTTAAAGCCACAGCAAGCCAAGTGAGTTAGCTACTAGCTTGCTAGTCTCACAGGATCATGTAATTATTATGAATGAATTTATCATGTATACTTTATAGACTTACCTGCACCCAAAACTCCATCCTTTGAGGCTAATATATCAAATTTGTTTCCCTCAGAAATGTTCGAGAAAGAAAAATGTTCTTTCAGTAACTAGTTACCAACTAAACTAAACTGCCTTGAACTCAAAGGTCAGAAAAACTTAAATACATTTCTGAGTGCTCTGATTTAAAATCACCTAAAAATCAAACCTTTGTGTTTCAGAAACTGACCAAATATCTTACAAAAAAACTAGATTATGTAGCAGCAACCACACAGCACTTCTTCTCTAACTCCTGTGAGGAACTAGGTAGTTGTCAGAATATGTCTTACATTTTTGTCCAGCGACTCCATGTTGTTCAGGTAATTTATTTGTATCATCACTCAGTGATATTTATTGTATCTCTACCTGCTCCCATCTGGGACCTGATTCTGCCTTCTTGGCTGTGCTGCTATTGTCTATTGTCAACTGTGGCTTCAGTAATCTGTGTTGAAACAATAACGACTATTGTTTGTATGCAAATGTAATGTAATTCAACCAAATCCAGTGGGAACAATGCTTCATATAGCCAGTGCTGACCTATATACAGGGTTATTTCTCCTGCATAGACAAACAACAGAGCCTCCTCCCAGCACACATTATCCTCATTAATGTCAGTGTATAATGGACTTGTGATAGGAATGGCTCATTGCATACATTAACATTATGCAAACTCTATTAGCCATGTAATGTCGCATGAATTCACCAAAGTGTCTGCGTAGTCCCTTCACCGTCCTGTGAGCCTCTATTCACTGTTAGTCCCCACAGCGAGTGTATAGTTCTTCAAAGAGAGCAGGATGTCTAATTGTACTGCTAGCGGTTAGCAGATCTTCAGCTTCATTTGCACCAATAGCCTCATTACACCAGGAGAGCATCAGTGACCTCGAGGTCCTTGAAAAACACAATCACATTTGGAAATTGGGAGTATTTTTGTCTCTATTTATAGATTTATCCACCATTATTGTACGCTCAGTGGAAGAGCGGGGTCCCAGAGTGCCAAACAAGTTAATGATTTGCACTCACAGCTGAACAAAACTAAATGATAATGATATTCAGTTCATTTTAATGATGGATACAGATGTTTTAGCCTTTTGGCTTTGATCCGGGTACTAATGTGTGCATGATATTTACATTTTTCTATTACGTAAAAGAATTGCATAACTCAAAAGGATAACTGAATGTTGTTGTTTTTTTAAAGCTGCACACAAAAGCTAATTAACTGAAATGTATTACTTTTTCTGAACATTTTATACCATCCAAAAATAATACTTATTTATATACATGCTATAAATAAAATTAACAAAGCAAACATGGAAGTACATTGACAACAAAAGCTTTGTGAGAGCACAGAACAAATTCTGAGCGCTTTCCAGTCTGCAAGTCGACATTTGAGAGTGCGCAGACACAAATTCATCATTCATTGAAGAGCAGAATAAGATGGTTTGATTTTCTTTGTAAAGGTTTACAGATATCTGCTACTGAGACTTCTGCCACCACCACCCCAATAAAATGGAGATAAATGGAAGTTGTGGTGCTCAGAGCAATAAAAAATAAATGGTTATCCTTAAATTGGCTATTTTTATTTCTAAAAATAAGCTTAATTATGAATGATCATATTAACTGTGGATTATCTTGGAGAAACCTCAACATTATTGCTGGAAAGACAATTTACTGTTTCAAAACTTTGTTCTTTGAGCACCATACGCAGATTCCCATCCACATCACAAAGTAATTTCAGTGACAGACATCTCAGAATCTCCGCAAATATAACCACAATCAGTATAGCTACATGCAAATGAAAAATGTGTGATCTTGTAATTTGAACTAACTCTTTTAGATCAGAGCAATAAGAGTCTGAAACTGTTCGCTCAGCCTTTTCATTTAGAGACCCTGGGGTGAGTTCCTCCACAGAGAAACCGGCTCAGTGAGGAGTGTCACATGCAGACAGATTTATTCCAACACGTAACAATTGACCTCAGGCTCACTGCAACTATTTGTGACAGAGCTGAGTGAGAAATGAAAAGAGATTGATTTACCTCCCTTTAGAAAGTGACACGTATTGTTACAAAATGATTGATAACATTTAAACAAATGAGGTGCATTCCCACAGTTATGTTCATAATACTTCATTTTCCTATGTTATGTTTTATTTTGTTCTATCAATCTCTTATATATTAAACCCAGTCTGTTTTCTCATTGTTTAGGCCTAATTGAAAAACACAAATCCATCTTTTTTAGATATTTGCAAAGAGATTATTTATATCTCTTTCCTCTCTAAAAAACAAAAGTAGAAATTGTTAATAGAAACTGTTACTAAAACAAGTTTCAAATTGATGACATTCTTGCCATATGATACCATAAACCCATTAACATGGTATTTGTTGGTATCTTGAATATATCTATAAGGATCTGACTCATTTCTGTTTTTTCTGACTTTTAAATAACGTAGGAAATGACTCACAAATTGCATTTCATAAGCATGTGACTTTCATTTTTTTAAATGTCAAATTCTTGGTTAAAGTCCACAGATGTGGTTACACAACAGGCCATTCTGGAAAATCTGCAGTCTTAAACGGATATATGAAGATATTTATCAGTGTATGAAATGTTGTCTGGGTACTGTGCATTCAACAGTTGAAATGTGATATTTAAGTTTTATATTGACCCATATGCAAATTTAATTAATGAAAATATATTGCAGAGAAACACTAGCCAGCTAATGCTATACTAAACACAGAGATGAGTACTGTAAACAGTGGCAGCTTTAGCAAAGACAACTGAAAACCACTCTTGTTCTGAAGGGAGTAAAGCACAGAGGCCTACCTGCCTGATTGCATACAGTAGTGCTTTGTTAATTAATGTGACACTAAATCACCAGCACTTAAGTCAAGATGTTCTGTTTATTGTTGTGCGTTTTTAAAGGGAGCAGCCCATCTTCAGCGCCAGAGCTCATGTCTTCCAGATTGACCCGGCCACCAAACGCAACTGGCTGCCAGCCAGCAAACACGCCGTCACCGTGTCCTTCTTCTACGATGCAAGCCGCAGTGTCTACCGCATCATCAGTGTGGGTGGCACAAAGGTGGGAGTGCAATGCACATGTGACTCCAACGATTCACATGCAATGGTCAGCGTGGAGTCATGCTAAAGCAGACTTTCTTCACATATTGTTGTTTGGTATCAAGACACAAAAGAAGTAATTCTGCTTAAATTCTTTTAAGAGGAGAAATGTTAAAAAGGTGACCAATATATAATTCTTTTGCTCACATTTTTCAAAAGTGTAGTGATTGATTCTAACGTGCTCTATTTAACAAACAAATATAACAAACCTTTTTTAAAGATGATTGTATTTCTGTCAGATAAAGCCTGCACTGAGTGGGACTGTGTGAAAAATCAAATCAAGCTTCTATTAAACTTGAGTGTGCTGCACCTTGTTGCGCTCAGCAGTGAGATGGTAGTGTTTTCCTCATATGGTATTAGTATTACATTGGTGAAGGGACTCTCCATTTGTGTAGTATCATATCCTTCTGACTTGCATTTTATTCAGCCCACTCTCTGAACCCTATCCTGAGATTCTTCAAATAAGGGGAAATAAATCTGTTTTCCATTTGGTTGTGGCTGTCACGGGTGGGGATGCATTAGTCGGAGTTGCTCATTGTCAGCAGAATATTTATAACACACCCAACATCGCTAATGCCAAGTCCACAACAATGGTAAAGCACCAGGGAGTCCCAACACTAACAGCATATCTTGTTAGCGCCTAAATGAAACTCAAAGAAAACACTTCGCTTTGTAGTTAACTGCCAATTGTGCCAATTTACCACCCTGAGACTTGAGACTTTTGGATAAAAGTCTACATTTGGCAACAACTCCACCTTATCAGACACTTGAGAGCGTTACTCAACAGCACACCACAACAAGCTTTTTTACTTAGCTCTTTCTCTGGCCTGGTTGTCAGATATTTTGTCTTTATTTGCACGCACAGTTCTCCAGTAGACCTCCATAATGTTTTTTTTTAACTGTAAATGACACAACTGCACAACAAAGGACAATTACATAATCCAAATGTGGTCTTGTGGTATTAAGGTTGCCATGTTATGTATTACTGCTAATGAGCATAAAGAAAACCATAGAACTCCCAGACAACACCAGCCTGTTGGCCTGTTGTTAATGTTGTTAAAGATGAAAATTTGCCGGTCAAGTACAATGAATGAAAAATATCACTGGGCAGTAATATAATTTGGCATTTAAAGGTGACAGCAATTATTAATGTTCTTCTTCTTGATTCTGGATATGATGAATTCTTTGTCCTTGAAAATGACCTTATTTTGAAAATGGGCTCTTAAGCACGTAGCTTGATAAATGCATACAAGTACATGCAAGTGCAGAACCCTACCAAGTTTTGGCCTGAATTAGAGCCGATGCACCTTTTTAACAGCTGCCGTAGCTGTGGATTTACTTAAAAATTCAAACTATGAAGACATTTGTGAAATGACAGTATGTCTGTAAGTAGTTCTGAAGGAAATATAACAATTTGATTTAAAAATATGACTTGATTGAATAAGAAATCTATCCTAGTGAACAAATAAGTTAAAAATGTATAAAATATAAATCACAGTAATTCCAATAATTTTCTGTCTCATCTTTTAGTGTTGTTCCCCGTAGACATTGTCCATAATACATGTTTAATATCCCTCTCTGTTCTTACTCTGCTTTTTATATTTATCCTGTATACCTGGGCAACATTTGTTATTTATCTCAACAATACCTCACCTTTCCCACTGGGATCATTTATCTGATGTTTTTTCTCATGTTATTTATTACTTATTTTATAATCTGTGGTGTTAGGCCATCATTAACAGCACCATCACCCCCAACATGACCTTCACCAAAACATCCCAGAAGTTTGGCCAGTGGGCAGACAGCCGGGCCAACACCGTCTATGGCCTGGGATTCTCTACAGAGCAGCAGCTGCAGCAGGTAAAAACACCCATCGCACACAAATCGGCAACTTTCAAACAAAATACTTCAAAGAGTCTTTCATTAATTTGACATTACGCAGACAGGCTGTGGGGGAAAAGAGGGGCTACGTGAGCAGGAGAGGACAGTGATATGATGATCAAGGCCCCATTTTTCAACAGATTCTGTCACTGATGCAGCTGGATTATATTAACACATAGACACATAGACAGTGGTAACACTGTATTTGGATATTCTGTCTACAAAGAGTTCACATAGAGAGTATTTGTAATGTTTCAGTTGTTACAAATACTTCCTCACAAGATATTTATTTATCTCCAAGATTTTAAGTTTGCTGAGAAAACATGACCTTCAGAGAACATCTGTCACACACATTTATTTATTTATTTTACATTTAACCTTAGCTGTCATCAAAAGTAAATTCAAAATAAGCTTGAAATTATAGATTATACAGCGTCAATGGTCACAGCCGCTGAATAGTATTCTTGTTACCCCAGAGTATCGTATGTAACCCGTGGCTTTCACAAAAATGTATATGGAATTGAATAACAAATGCACAAATGTCTTCACCATTACACACCAGATACAAAACTTTTCAGTAACTACAATGTGTGTCATATGTTACATCCTGACCTGGTGCCTTTCCTCTATATTTTGCTGAACCTCAATAGTGGTGGCTACTAGTCTTGAGTCTTGGAGGAAAATAGAGAATAGTGTGTGGACAGATTTGTTTGCTTTCACCACCAAAGCTGCTGGCTTACTAGTATGCTTGATCAGCAGCGAGAAATTAGCATTATAAAGCTCAAAAATGTTTTGCGGCTCCAGACAGATTTTCTTTTTTGTTGGGATGCTACCCCCTGCCCCAGAGTGACATAAGTGCTATAGTATTATCATGGGGGAAAGAAGGTTTAAAATAGTGGTTCAAGGAAGATGTAGGTCTTGTGTGTTTGAGTGTAACTTCGGTCTCATCTTTTCCTCCTTCTATAGTTTGCAGAGCAGTTTAAGGAGGTGAAGGAGGCGGCCCGTCTAGCCAGAGAGAAATCTCAGGAGAGGTTTGAACTGGCCAACCCTGCTCTCAACATTGCAGCTCCAGAGGTAAAGCACTGCTCTACTTTCTTAAAGCTTTTTAAAGTTTTTCTGATTTATTCTCTCTGATCAGAGCATTTGGTAGAGAATGGAAACTCCATTTACTCAAAAAGCATAAGCCATAAGTTTTCCTGTCATAACAGATCTGACAAAATATCAATGAGGTCGATCAGTCATGCTCGGTAAATGTCAATGTAAATGAATGATTTTGATTTTGAATGAAGCATTTTACATACTGATATATGCATTTTTTGCTATGCTGATTTATTAGTCATTGTAGCATAACAATTAATCACCTCATGAAAGCTTTTCCATTTGCTGATCTGAAAATAAACACTGGCAGATTGTGGAGTATCCTGAATAATCAGGACATTGTTTCAAGACACATTGCTACTAAGTTTCTTAAATTGAGTTTTGAGATGCTTTGAGCACCACAAATAAGGTTCATTCACCTCCGTTATACTGACGATGGTGGAATTCTCAAGCGGCAATAATTTCCAAACCTCAGCAAATCAAACCAAAACTATCTGCACAGAGGATAGTTTCATTTCAACTTACTGAGTTAGGGGTAAGGAGTTACGTTAAGTGTGAATTGAGCCTTAAAAGGGTCAAAATTTGCTGTGATATCTGCAGTATGTGTACAGACACCACCAAGGGAACTGCTACTGCTTAATGATTTAAAAACAAGATGGTATTATTCTAAAGATTAAATAATAAAAAGCCCCCAGTGCAAGTATTTGCTGATCAGAATTTAGAGTCATCTAGTTTTTATGTTGTAAAGTGTGCT